TGCCTCGCCAGTCGATCCAGGGCTCGTGCTTCTCAAGCCAGGGCATGCCCAGGATCATATCATATGGATCCATATCGAGAACAGTGAACTGTTCGAGGCTGTCAAAGTCTTCAAACTTGACAGCCAGATCCACTTGGACGTTGGGGACAGTGACGACCTTCCCGTCGGCCAGTCGCACTGACACCGTCCCGTTGCCCTTGCTTTCTCGCAAAGCTTCGGACAACTTGTTGCTGTTACGAGCAACCGTCTGGCGGCGTGCGAAATTCTTCGACGCCCCAGAGTCAATCAAGATTCTAAAGGGGTGATCGTACCCCCGTACACATCCGTGTACTACGAGCAACCCGCCGCTGCTCTTCGCCGATTCGAGAGTGCGAAGACTCTCAGGGGCTAAGTCCCCGTGGTACGCGCCACCCGCGCACCCATCACGAAGACTTAGTTCTTCCCCAGTAGGGCGCCCCGCCCCTACTGGTTCCCTGCGTTCCCCTGTCCCCGGGATCCTGGCTTCTGCCAGCGACCCTTGAGGACGGGCTTGGGGAAGGACCGTCTGCGGAGTCTTTCCGCGGGACAGTCGCGCTTGAAGTGGCCCATCTTCCCACAGCCGAAGCAGCGGATGTCACGCTGTTCGGCGGACCCGAGTTCCATGGGAACTGGTCCGTTGGGGCTTGTTCGACCGGGAGCCGACAAGGAACTCCCAGGCCACGCTGAGGCCGGCGTACGCGCCTGGCGATGGCTGTATTCTTCTTGAAGAGCCACTTGAATCGCCTCTTCAAGGGTGCTTGCCTGCACCCGGAACAGCTGAGTGCGTGCGGGGCCCACTCGAAGGCCGTCCATGAACACAGTCATCTTGATGTGTTCATTGAGTGGGTTTCCCACTAGGGACGCCGTGAGCTCCCGTATCTCTTGCACATACTCGTGCAGTTCGCGTCTTCCTTGTTTACACGCGAGGAAGCGCGAACGCTGGCGGTACTCGTAGTTCGCCGGGAGGAACGCGGCTCGGAGCTGTTGGCACAGCTGAGCCCAGGATGTGAAACATCCAGGGGATGTCGCTTCCCGAGTGTACACCCAACTCTTAGCACGACCGCTAAGGTTGGAGAGTGCAAAAGCAACACGCAGTTGCTCGGTCGAGATCAGAGCCGCGTCCATCGCGAGCTCTACTTCTCGGACCCTGAAGTGAAGGTTCTCGCCTTCCTTCCCTTCATACGGCTTTACCTTCAGCCGTATTGGCTTCGGGTGAGGCGGGTTTGTTTCCGCCGCCGGAGCCTGCAGGTTCTCCCGCACATGCGCGATGAGGCCCTGCTCGTACGCGTCGAATGCATTGACGCGCTCGAGCTGCTCAGCCGGTGTTGATACCACCAGGCTCTGCAGGGCCTCCATCCCGAAGATGCCTGCCATCTTCCGAACCGACTCGAACTGAGAGTCGTTCATATGGGAGAAGTCGTTCCTATCCATGGCAACGAACTTCGGAGGTTCAGGTAGTCTACCCGCGATGGCGTGGATTGACTACAAGTGCTACCAAGTGTGACGGGGTCACACAGCACCTTGCGCTAGAGGAAGTTATCTTCCGAGAGTATACAAACTCTCAGTGAACGGCAGTTCACAGGTCCCCTCTTTAATTAAAGGGAGCGAAGTGACCTAAATAAGGTAGATTGTAAACTGAGTATATTTATAGGTAGGTTAAGTTTGAGGTTAATACAAACTATCAGTTACCTATAGAAATGCGATGTCATTTAACCAATGGTTGGTTTTGAATGACCTTGGTACCTTGTACCAAATATCCCGGAGTATGACATGTCATACTCCGGAAGTGTGAAGTGTCACACTTCATGTAACCAGGGTACACTTAGTGCTACGTACCCCGTTACAGGCGTTCACGAAACGCAATTGCGCACTACGTCGACGTCGCGTACATCCCGCCAACGTCTAACGAGTGTGAGCGCTTCTTCTCTCTCGCTAAGCTGGTGCTGTCTGATCTACGGAAGCGAATGTCTCCAGCCAGGCTCGAGATGATAATGTTTCTGAACTACAATCGTGACTTACGAAGTTTTGCAAATAATTGAATTATTAATTTTCTCAGCTCACATCGATGTATTAATCTAAGTATTGCATTTTCGGGTTCCCTGTATTAGTCTCACTAACGCTGTAGAAGGCTGTACCTCTTACCCATCGCGCGACAGGCCACTGAGCTCACACAACTCATTCTCCTCTCAAATCGCGACTCACGTTTTTTCAACACGAAGGCAGCACTCTACGGATCACGTTTAAGATATTTCCTTGCCACGCCTCATTTCTCTTTTACCACCGTGGTCCTACGACGATGAACAAGACAAGTCATTAGAAAGAAGGCATACCGTTGAGCCTCCTGCGTTCAATGTTGAGCTACGGTGGCTTACCCCAAGACTCTATCCTGACTGCACGTACTACACCCTGCGCTCAAGCTCATACTACAGTGCTGCTAGCATCAAGAAACAACAGACGCTGAAGACCGACAGATCAGGAAACTTATACACCGACGCACATTCAACGTTTATCGCGCTCACCGGCGCTTGGTCTTTGGTCACGTTTTACGCTACACTCACGTAAAAAAATGTTGGAGCTCGTCCCGGAACTCTAGTGCGCAGACACCGTACCGGGGTTGACTTCGCCCTGGAACGTGCTGAAGTCAATGTTCGACTTGGATCCCTTGTACTCCTTGTTGTCGTCGGAGTTTTGCTGCGTGGGGTTGTCGCCGTTCTGGTCACCACCGTTATTGTCACCGCCGTCCTTCTTCTCCTCTTGGTTGCCGCCGTTCTGGTCGCCGCCGTCCTTCTTCTCCTCTTGATTACCGCCATTCTGGTCACCGCCGTCCTTCTTTTCCTCCTGGTTGGCGCCGTTCTGGTCGCCACCGTCCTTCTTGCTCCCTTCTTGGTTGCCACCTCCATCGTTGGGAGGTTGTGTCCAGGTGTTGCCACCAGTATTGGGAGGTTGTGTCCAGGTGTTCCCGCCGGTGCTTGGGGGCTGCGTCCACGTGTTACCTCCGTTGTCACCACCCTTATCGGCAGCCTTGTCACCTTCCTTGTTTCCACCATTATCACCGCCCGTGCTACCTTTCAGTGTTAACTCCCGTAGTCACCGACAGATGTTGCCCCCCTCCCTCACTGCCCGCGTAGGCTCCCAGCGTGTCTTCCCTTCGTTAGCGACCGGCGAGGGTAGCCGGAACTAGCTAACAGTTATAACTTACATCGGTGGACACCAGCGAGGTATCTTCCGTTGTTTACTGATATGCAGAAGCAACATGGGGGGTCTACCTTTGAA